TAGTTTACTTTTCGCACAAATATTTTTTAACTTGAAAATGGTGCCAGGATGACACCGAAACGTCGTTGCTCAGTTTTTTCGCTAATCTTTATTGTTAACGATATGTAAATGGTAACTATAAAACCAATTCACAAAGCAAGCTTGGTGAGTAGTGGTTTTTCTGAAAAGCTATTTAATAAACCCATAAGCTCAGAAATAAAAATTAAATAAAATCGCTGTGGCTGAATGACCGGCAGCCGGTCAAAGTTGTCAAAACACCAAATGATCGGCGCACCGAATTTCTTAATTAATTTAAATTGATTTTAAAAAAGATCTAGGAAATAAACTGAGAACTTAGCTAATACAAACTATGATATGTTGATTACAGCGGTTATCAACCCTTCAGCGCAAAAACGTCTACACAAAACCTAAGTTTGACTGTACCCCCAAGAAAGGCTTAAACCTTGCAGCGGTCCACTCGTAAAAATTAGCATTTTAGTTTCAGTATACAAGGCTAGCTCACCAAACACACTGGCATTAAATATACCTTGAAATGTATAACGGAAGACGGGCGGGTCGGGTTTCTCAACGGCCATTCGCATGCATGAATGACCCCGAGATCAAGCAAATCTACACGCGAACAAATTATTTCTGCACGTATTTGTCTTGGGACTACGAGCAAAACAAGACTTAAACTTCTTATAGACCTTATAATTTTGTAAGGTAATAAGTTATAAGTTTTATAGGTTTATTGTTGTTCAGTCCGTAGCCCCAAGAAAAAGATATGGTCTAAAAGTACTTACGAGTGACCACGAGTGACCACGAGTGAGATTACATCAAAAAATGTCAGTGATATTATTATGACGTCATTAAGAAGTCATTGTGAGGTCATATCATTAAATAATGACATTACCACCAAACTGAGGCTATTTACTGATGTAGTAATCAAAGATTAGAGCAGTGGCCGTGCTTCACAATTCGATTTTTTTCCTTTTCAAATATTGGCTGCTTTTTTATTTGTGAAAGTGAAGAAAAATTCGCCTGATTTTACTTAATCAAGCGACGCTCAAAACTGCGCGTGGGCCTTGCATGCTTTGTTTGATCGAATGACAGGTAAACCATTCTGGCCAGAAAATACGGCCTTTTGGCAACCTACAAAACTAGGTGGAAAATCTCATACAGACTGGACTAGATTGCGTTACACCACGTGAACACAACTAGTGTAACTAGAACACGTCCGATAATTTTTAGCGACGACTCAGTGTAAAGGAGGTGTCTCCTCTACGTCTTCGCCTATGTCTCCTTTAGATCCTCCCCTATGTCCTCCCTCCGGAGATGTTTAAAATCGTGGTATGTGGACTATAGATTTCAGATTGCATGTCATAGAATGAAAGGGAAACCCAAAATATGAAAATAAATTGAAAACAAGTTGAAAAATAAATTTTGAGAGTTGTAGCTAAGCAAATGGCCATCATTTGTTGTCAGAAAACTAACCTAACCAAAAGGCCGTGATTTGTGGTCAGAATGGTTTATTCGTTCTAAGGTTAACATTCTTCAATTGTGAAAACAAGACGTAAACTCGCGCAATTTAAACATATACAAACGCAAGGTAAAATTTTTTGGCGACGCGTTGTCTGGGTAGTCGGCTGGCCGAAACTTTATTTCTCAAGAAATATTTATTATGAGTTTTGGCGTTCTGTTGTTGAACATTCAGTTTCGGAAACAAATCTTAAAGAAAGGCTTTTCCTGGAAGTTTATAGTTCCTTACCATGAAGTGTGTAGTTTGATTCATTCATTAGTAGTTCAACCTCACGTGCAGATCGTTATCTGTTATTCGTTCAAACAAAACAGGCAAAGTCCGCCAGTGAAGTTTTGAGCCCCACTTCGTTTAATAAAATCACTTGGATTTTCTTACCTTTCACAATCGTGAAAACATCATATATGAAGCATCAAAGAACAGAAGGTCACCAGTCAATATTTGTAAATCGAATTGTGAACGCACAGGCAGTGCTCTCAACTTTGATTACCATACTAGTAAATAAGGGCCTCTTCATATGAGCCCGGTAAACTGGGCTGGCTCGGTTTCCGGGATCTCGCCTCGCCACTCTTTCCTTCGTAAAAATTTCGATGTGTTCATATGAAAAGCTGGGCTGGCCCGGTTACCGAGATCTCGGTCGTAAAACCGCGATCTCGGTAACCGGGATGAAAATTTTCCCATATGAACACTCCAGCCCAGGAAACCGGGACGAAACTTTTTAGACAAAATGGCTTCGCTTTCGCAAAGTCCACAAAGCTTCGACAGCCAGGAACGATACAAGTTTATGTTCCACCATTTTGGTGGTGTTTCTTGGACTTTATCCCGGTCGACCGGGCTGAAATTTCCCATATGAACAGACAACAAAATTCGTCCCGGTTACCGGGCTCATATGAAGAGGCCCTAAGTTTGGTCACTGGTCAGGTCATTATTTGATGAAATGACCTCACAATGACTTCTTAATGACGTTATGATAACACCACTGACATTTTTTGACGTAATCTCGCCCGTGGGTCGCTCGTGGTCACTCGTGGTTACTGGTAAGTACTTTTAGACCCCATCCAAGAAAAATGCGCGCAAAAATAATTTGTTCGCTCGTCGCTCGCGTGCAGTTTGCTTGATCTCGGGGTCATTCATGCATGCAAATGGCCGTTGAAAAACCCGACAAACGTCTTCATTTCTAGATTTCAAGGAATATTTAATGCCAATGTTTTAGTGAGCGAGCCGTACATACCGAAAGTCAAATGATAATTTTTACGAGTAGACCGCTGCAAGGTTTCAGACTTTTTTTTCAGGTAAATCGGCAAGGAGGCGGAGATGATTGACGTCCACCAAAATTTAGGTTTTGTCAAGACGTTTTTGCACTGAAGATCGCGTGTGTTTGATAACCCCTGTAGGAACTGCTAAGCGATTCACATGAGTCCAAGGTAACGCTGCGCATAGAATACGAATCCATGAGCTGTGACACTTAAAAAAATGTTCTGCATGGTGTATCCCTCAAGGTTCCAAAACATGAACGACAGTCTGAATCAGTTTTAATTCTAGTAAATCATAGTTTGGATTGGCTAAGTTCTTTTGGCTAAGTTCTTTTGACGACAGTCAACATTAAAATGATAACTTAGTTGCAGTTGTCACAGAAAAGCAGTGCGTGACATTCCGTCCTGAAATGTGAAATGATTTCCCATAATCATCATAGCCCTGGAAACAGCCTAAAAGACTTCTTTCTACACTTCTTTAGTTACTATCGTAAGTTGATGTCTGCTCTGAAGACGGAACTAAGCTATGCGACCATTACGCACGTCAGGTGATAGATTTCCTTCCACGATAGGTATGATATCAAATTTCAGGATTCGAAAACTTTGCACAGTGATCCGCCGCAATAGTGTTAGGCATTGGCCTTAAATGTAAGAGTTTTAAACCTTAGCCCCTTTGCGTATAATTTTGAAAACTTTGGCGTAAGACTGAGAAAAATATATATATACTATCCGGATCGTTTCTTCGGCGCGGTATGGAATGATATAGGCGGCAGTTACGTGAATCAAAAACATAGCGAAATGCCTTTCCGTGCCCTGGCAAACGTACTTTTTTTACTTTTATCTGTTTCAATCGATTTGACGCATTTTTAAAAGACTTTGAAATTTTTAACCCTTTGAATTTTTCCCATTACTCGGTTTCCCGTTACTTCATTACTCTGTTTAGTAACACCCGTACTTGTATAAGAGCGTGAGTTTTGTCCGTAAGAGAGCCATGGAAAATGTAATGAAGCTTAGTGCTTAGTTTGTTACTGTTGCCGACGATCTGGAGTTCTGTATGGGAACAACCCTGCTTTGCATTGACACTCGTTACATCCTCCTTCCCTTCGGCAGCATTTTGTACCATTTAGGTAAACTAGTTTAGATAACACTGAACTACAGATAAGAATAATCGGCTTCGCTCTCCGAAGGCAATGGCGCGTTGTCGGAAAAGCATGGTGCGTTGGAATTCACGCTAGTGCGAAAATTCTTAGCAATGGGTATGCACAATGAGACAAACAAGCGAGCAACAAAAATAATTAGCAGGCGCCGAAAATGTGGAAGCAAAAATTGAGCGATTTGATATCAAAGTTTGACCACATTACAATAGTTCAATTACCTTGAGACTGAGAAGTCTTTGAAAATAGTAATTTAACTACAGGATCACCGAGTTTAAAAGAAATTCATCGACCACTTTTAATAATATTCGCCTTAGTGTAAAAACATAGCCAAGTTTTGACAAAAAAGCAAAATAGCCTCCTTATTCAAGTTCATATTTTTCGAAATCAAATGAAGCGATTTTGTTCCACTTTTCAGGAAATGTGGTTCATGTGTATAAAAATAAAATGCGCTCCAAAGGCGCTTCCCGTAAGCCCGGCGAACATATACTAGAGCGACTCGATTAGAATTGCTTCATGTTAACAGTCGAAAACTTAAGCCGAAGATTTCTCAAAATCGGCCTCACAGAATTTGTTTAAACTCGCTACACAATAGGCACACTATCTAAACTACAAGTACGGTGCACAGTTTAGAAAGAAAATCTCTAGATCTCAAGTAAATGGACCTTGAGTGAAAACAGCAATGACGTCATTGCATTGCTATGGTAACTCCGATCTCCATAAAATACATCGCACCCGAAACTTTGGTCTATTCCTAGCAAGAATGGGGATATCAATCTCCTGTATTATGCTTTAGTGCATTGTGATTTGAATTTAAAGTTCGAAGGTGTCACTATTGAAAAATCCAATCGAGCCACCTTAAAAACCTCTTCTCTAAGGATGTAAGTGTACAGTTATACAGAGATTTCATTCTTCCTTATTTTCAATACTGCTGTGCTGTCTGGAACTTTTGTGGAAAACGCAATAGTGACTGGAAGCTGGAACTACTCAACAAACAGGCACTTAGCTTAGTACTTACTGAGTATACCAGCCGTTATTCTTCTTGATTAAATAATTTTGACATGATTCCCTTGGTGCAGCTTATCATAGCGTACTTGTAAAATTCTGACCCGTAAGTATGTCTACAATTTACCGTCAAGGTTACCTTCACAAGAAAACCGTCCAATATTCCAGGAGACTGAATCACCCTTCGAATTGAGGCTACATTCCGCTTGTCTGTTTCCGCGCAATACAAATCCTCGGCGACATCCGAAGTAGCAAGTTGAACCGAGGGACGTAAAACAGGGGACTGAAAGAGTTTGACTCGGAAGCGAGGTCGTCAGCTTTTCACAATGCTTTGCTAAAAGAAAGATAAACAATCCTTGCTAAATGGCTTTACTATGGCATTACAATTTGATTCGTGAAACATTATCGACTCAGTCAGCTAAGTGCTTAGCGGTTACGGCGTTAAAATGTTGAGTAAACATTTTACGTCATAAGAGTATAAAGCTCCCGGATGGGAAGTGGGCTACCCACGTTTGCAAGAAGTTCTGTGTCCACTCCAACTTGAAGATGGTAAGCAAGTTCTAGACTGAGATCCCAACAGATCATATCCGGGATTGCAAGAAAATGTACAGTTGGCACCAGTGGCGTTTCCAGAACAGCTCATCCTGCCTTGCCATGGTGGATCAATCTCTACACAAGGTTGAGCTGCAGAAACAATTAATCAAAGACTGGAGTTTATTTTTCCGAGCTGGTGGGCGTGGCACTCGCGGCAGGTGGGAGGGGGTGAACTTCTTGTATGTATCTCCAAAAGCATTTTTACCCCTATAGCAATAAAACGTCTATTGTATGTGGCAGAACTAAAGTTTTAAATTCTGGCCACGTATCGTAGTATAGCAAGCGTGCCAACACACGACTTGGACCTTTTAAGTTGCTTACAATTCAATGCTTCTAAATTCTTGAACCAGTTTATCAATTGGCCATTACCCTGACATGTTTGCTAAAATTATTCCTGTCAACACGTGTTTAAAATCAAGACTCTTTTAGGGTGATAAAATAAATTTTTCTACCGTTTAGGACTCTCTCTTTCCTAAAAATAAATAACTCGAGTTTGCTGGGCATACTTTTCAGCTTTCCCCAACAGTTAAATATTGCTCCTCTCAGAATTTTAAAGCATTGTCTTTTTGTAGTGGGGGCAACCGGTAAATTCATCTTGTTTACTCAAGTTTACGACCAATTAACTGAAACTTATGCAGTTAAAAACAAATTAAAGAGAATATTGAAAGGTCAAGCAGGTATACCTGGCGGGCAACCTTGACGCATTTTATTAAACACTGCAGCCCGTTTAGAGAGTCGAAAGCACGACGCAGTGTTTTGAAATGTGTTTTTAATTAGCATAGATATTTTTACGATATTATTTTTCCGTTATTTGGAAATGCAGAATTCTCCCAACGATTCTTGATGGCTGTGGCCTCAGAGTGTGACCTCCAGCAGAACAGACACCAGTATTTTACTGGAACATTTTGACACTAATTATATCACTAGATCTAGAAAGAAGAAAGAAATGCTCTGCAAATATGGTGAGCGTACGCGTCAGCTAAAAAAAGTTTGCTGAGGAAACAGTGACAGCCGGCGAAAATCGCTTTGCTTTGAAGTTAAGGTTTAAATTTGGATTTTTAGGGAAAAGTAATGGTTGAAGTGTGATCTCTAATTAAAAAAAAAAAACGTAATAAAAAAGCTTAATATTGGTGGAGAAATGGCGGTCTTGCGTTTTCCCTGGGAGTAAAAGTTTCCCTTTTGATTGACAGCCCTAAGACGTGAATGCAATCAACCAAGACGGATGCCATGAATTGGCTACTCAATTGATCAGCATTGTTTTTCTGACTACTAAGCATTTTTCGTACTAGGTGTATTTAATTTAGTTATAAGTAAATATGGACCACGGACCAGCTCGAAAAAGCGAAGAAAAAAATTAAAATACATCAATGAGTGAAGAACCAAAAATTGGCCTCGCGGTGTCCGATAAGTGATCGTACTATGAGAAGTGGTCTGACGATTCGGACTCCAGTTGGATGAACCTATAGCTATCGGAGCAGCCAGGCAAAAGATCGGGTCAAGAGAAGAGAAAGGTTCTGTAAAAATATGGGAACTTGACAGTGATAACAGCGATGTTGACGGTGACTCTTCTCATGAGTTAAACACCAACCAATCGTCGGACTTAAATATTGAATATTATCCATGCACAATTGCCCCGCTGTGGTTTCTCTGGCTTGTTTTCTTCGCCCAGACGCTTTAGTTTGTTCGTTCGTAACCTTTTTCGTCTTCCCCATTTTGCTAGACCAACTTCAAGAAAAATCAAATGGTTGAAAAATGAGTGCAGTGCGAAACACGAGGGGTTTTTTGGAGATTCGCGCGTACGTTTCACAAAGAGGCTAACGGATAAGAACTTTCCAAGCGCTGATTGGCTCAGTTATCCGAGAACCCAGGTGAAAGTGTTTGTGGGCGGAGTTTGTTTTTTGCGAAGCAGGGTAATTTTCTTAACGCCGTTTTCTCGAATCAATTTTTTCCCTTGAAGGAGACCCTTTAAAGAGCTATTACTCAGAGGGAATTTGTTCGATTACCCTTAAATTTGGACGGTAGCTTGCCTACTTCCTTGGCCTCAATATTTCGCCGCGGTCAATCGTTTTGGGTCAAGTGGTCCGGGGCGAAAAGTGTGGCCTAGACAAAAACCCGAGAATTGAGACAATTTGTCTCAATTTTTGACGGAGCCGATTTCGTGCGGCGGAGGGGAATTCTCTGGGCATTTCTGGAACGATGACTGCTAGAGAAAAGCATTTTAAACTCTTCGCTTTTGTGTTAATGTGAACCGGTCGAGCTAAACGGCTCATTTGGATCCAAACGGACATTATCGAGTCAGAAGCATCGCCGCTTTCAAACCACAGGCAAATACTGATTACTCAAAATATTTAAGCCTTTGAAGGTTTCTATAACATATAACCGTAGCGCTCGAACAAAGAAAACAATAATATACCAAAATTTCTTAAATTTCGGGTTCAAGAGTAAGCTAGAGTAGCTTTCTAAGCTAATTATTTAGCTATAGTTTGACCGCTATGCAATAAACAAGAATTCGCTCGCGCGCAGCGCTGTCTGGTAACCAACAAGTCTTGTAGGTAGTAAATTACCTTGCGAAATCAAACTTAACCTTGCATGTAATCTTATCTATACGTACATTTCTTAAAGGCCCATTAACCGATTCATGCGCGCGCTCGCGATCGCGCGCGTTGCTAAGGATGTGAAATTTCACTTCCGGTTACTTACGTTAGCCTGAGCGCGGAAAATAAAAACGACTCAATAACTTGCAAATTCGCTTACATTTTAGATGTTTTTTCTTTGTGTTTCACAAAATGCAAAATAAAAAAAGTACAAGCAAAGACAAGATAAAAGAAAAACAGAAAAACAAGAGCAAAAGAAAGAGAAAGACTAACTCCCTGTGGCTTTATGTGATCTTACCGAAGTGCGCTGGTGGTGTAAATTGCGCACGCGCTGATAGGGTAGTTTCCAATATATATCAGGCGCAATTCCGGTTTCTTCAAATGCTAAAGGAAACGCGGTTTTTCGTTAAATCAAGCCTTTTTCTACGAGTTTCGATTAAGCCAACGCTGGAAACATAGCTATACATTCTTTTCTCGAAATCACGCTTTTTTTTTAGAAAATTACGAATTTTTCAATATTTTGAAATTCTCTCAAAATCTGACCTTTTAGAAATGAAACAAAATCTATATATAGCGTAATGAGGATTAAAACTAACATTTTCAATCGATGGAAAAAATCCTGATGGAGTAATTTGCCTGTGAGCCTTTGCAGTTTTCAGTATTATTCACCTGACCAAGGGCGTGGCCTGATGACGTCATCACTGGTGTTACTTATCATGAAAAAGTTAAAACACCTGGATAACTCTTAACTAACTAAAAATGATGAGGTTATATGCGAATAAATTTTCCTTAGCAACGGCTCGAAAAGATTATTTAAAGGGTCCTTAACCACAGGCTTCTTTACTAAACAACTACAGCAACCTTTTCTAGAATTCTCTTTAATACATGTAAGGATATTAAAAAAAAAACCAAAAACAAAAAGACAAGTCGAATCGTCCTGGCCGTCGACTTTGCAATCACAAGGCAGCGACACAGTTATTATTTCATCATGACAAGCGCTATTACAACTGAACTACGTGAAACACAAAGATCTTTCAACAGATTTGTAATGTCAAAGTCGTACAGGCTTGAAATAGTCTTCCAGTTTTCGGTTCAAAAGAGTCGGAACTATTAAAACATTCCGTAGCTGAACAGAATTTACAGGTCACAACCTGTTAGCACGTGAAACTTGATAAAATCGGTCGCTCAGGCTTCCAGTTGAAGTGAATGTCAAATAAAAATGTTTGTGTGGCAGGCATAGTAATAGTTCTAACCGTAAGTTCTAAGGAAGTAGTTCTTCTCTACCAAACTGCAGAAAACTTGCTGAAAGATACAGTTTCGCATTCCTTCTAGTTGCAATAATCAGCATTTTCTCCGACTGAGTTATTTGGTGAGAATGGTTGAAGTTGTCCGGATAGCAAAGTCGATCGAGTAAATGTGCCCCTTCGGTTTCCCGTTTCCTGTTATACGTAAAAATTTACTTGCTGATCCAAACGCGTGCGCATTCTGTTATTGTCTAGACTACTCCGGGCCCATTCTCGACCCCAGAGCTCTTCTCTTTTACGCACCACGAACAGCGAGAAGAACTCTGGGAAGCTGGGCTAGAAAATCTGCTCTGATTAGTTTATGAATGAAACAATAATAAACGTTTGTGATTGGTCAATTTATTGCGTGCTACATGAAATGAACTTACGGGAAAACTAAACAGTGCGTTCAGGGAACAGTAGTAAAGAAAATGGGACGAAATCCGAAAAACTGTGCAATAGGAGGGTCAAGATTTGCCGCTGCTGTAATTCTCATTTGTCCAACATATATAATAGCATAGATTTATTTGGAAAAACGGCCCAAAGGGAAAATGTAATCGAGAAACTGAAAGAAGTAGGAAAGGTACAAGACAGGTACAAGGTACAAGGTACAAGACAGCAATGAAGATTTCCTATCAACAAAAATCTGCAGGAAATGTTTCCGAAAGGTCACAGGACTTGCGAAAGCTATCGACGACTCCCGAAACATTTGCTCGCAATCAAAAGAGATAGCGGACTTGGATAGCGCTCGGCTTAAAAGTGTCAGAAAGCCTTCAACACCAACACAAGAACCGCATGAGAAACGAAAGCCTACAATGCCCACTGCCTTTACGACACGGCACTTTGACACCACCACCTTGACTCCGGCCGATCAAGCGGCTCATGAAGAGTGCANNNNCAATTCCCACTGAGTTTACGACACGGCACTTTGACACCACCACCTTGACTCCGGCCGATCAAGCGGCTCATGAAGAGTGCAGCACTGAGTTGAAAGTTGAGATTTGTTCATTTCTCTCTGACGAACAAGTTTCTAAAAACACGCGCGAGATCTTTCCTTACCTGTGGTCAGCCAGAAAAGCGCATCGAGTCCAGACAAAGAATTCAATAAACCGTAGGCCGCAGAGATATTAACGGACGCTGGTCTTCGAAACTTACAGATTCGTGTTATTATTTTTAAGATTCAAAATAAACGGAGTTCCAGGAAAGAAGAACT